TTGTGTGTGTATGTGATCATAATATAAGCCAAAAGGTATCCCCAATTCTGGGTGTGTACTTGTAACACGACCAGGGAAATTATTTCTTCAATTTGCAATTAAAACTCTGGGAATCCTCATACTACAGGACAGAAGAGCACAGAAGATAAATGAAGCTACAGATACATGGGCCAAGTAAAAGTGTCTAGTAATGTTAGTGTTTTTTAAAAAACTAAGATTCCCAAAAGCACAAAATCCACTTTTCTTGATTTTATATCAAAGATACTTAATGTGACTTTACTTTATTAAGTAAAGTATTCATCAAATAAAATAAATGACAGAAAAAATGAGACAGGAAGGACTTACAAATTCTGTGCTCAGAGAGGGCACAAATAAAGTAATAGACTTGAGACTTAGCAGCTCTTTTATTTTATCTCATAGAAAAAAGATATAAGACAATTTAGATAAGGAAAGGAAATGATATTTTACCTTTCATGACCTCCCCTGAATTTTAATCATTAGAGAAATCAATCATTACATCAAGTTAAAGGTCACAATGCCATTTTACCTTGAATTTGGAATTCCTGGCAGTAAGGAATGGTATTAGTCCCTGTCTATCATAAGTATATTACACTTATTTTCTATGGAGTGAAAGGATATTTTAAATCAAATTATAAATGACTACCAGTTGTATTACTACATATGCATTCTCTCACACATTTTGCAGAGTCAAACTTGTTTTATATCTCGAGTAAAATATAACTATCAAGAAATCTTAGTTTTCAAGCTAGGCGTGGTGGCAATGCCTATACTAATCCCAGCACTCTGGGAGGCTGGAACAGGAGGACTACAAGTTCCAGCCCAGCCTGGGCAATCTAGCGACTTAGCAAGCAAGACTCTGTCTCAAAATAAAAAAAGGGTGGGATGCAGCTCAGTGAGAAAGCCTTGGTTGAAGTTCAACTCCCCAATAACACTAAAGAAGATATTTTATTCAGCCAGACACAGTGGCATACACCATAATCCCAGTACTCTGGGAGGCCATGCAAGGAGGATCACAATTCAAGCCCACCTTGGGGAATGTAGTGAGACCTTGTCTCAAAATTAAAAAAAAATAAAAAGGACCAGGGATGCAGGTTAGTGCAAAGGCAGGCCATGCATTCAATCCCCAGGACTCCAAAAAAAAAAAAAAAGTTTTCAAAACCTGAAATAGTTTTTATGAACAAAATTCACTACTGGGACTTGCAATATAAAATTAAACTGACAAATGACTACAGTTCAACCAAGGCCATAAAAAAATTGTATTCATTCCCGATCCAGTTTCTCTCAGACAAGATATGCCCAATAATGAGTAATTTGTTAACTCTGGCTTAACATTTCCTAAATTATTTCAATACAAAGAGGTAATACAAGAGTGGTAATCTCTACAACTACATTTTGTACAATTTTTCCCATCCAAAAGGAAAAATGAAATATCCAGCTGTCTCAAAGGACCAGGATAATTTCAGAAAAGTGTGTAAGTCCCTGGACACAAGATAGGATCAAAAAATGTAAAAAATTTCAAGTATAATTCAATAAATTTTTCTATGAGCCTTCAGAAAATGATATTGAGACCACAATGAGCTCCAAAAATTAGGAAATACAAGTGAAAAGGCAATTATTTTGTAAAGTAAGTTCCACATTATACAGTAATGTAAACTAAAAACTATCTTAAATTACAAGTACATGGAACAGCCAATGTAAATAAAATTATTTATCTATTACAGTACTTTATACAAGCGATAATAATTAAGAAGCAGGGGGTGGGGATTTAGCTCAGTGGTTTCGCCGCCTGCTGCACAAGTTCGATCCTTGGTACCAAAAAAAAAAAAAAAATTAAGAATCAGAACCACCTAAAATATCCATTAAGGGACTGGGGATGTAGCTCAGTGGCATTGTGCCTGCCTGGCAAGTGCGAGGCCCCGAGTACACCCTCAAATCCATTAAAAATTCTGTTGTATAGGCCTGCTTTTAGCACTCTAATAACGTGAGGCATATTTGTAAATGACAAAACACTTTCCACCTTTTTTGCATCCCTGCCATACATGCCAGAATCGTACTTCAAATTATAGATGTTAGTGGGATTTAAGTAAATTGAACGAATCAAAATTCTGAGGGGGAAAAAGGGGTAGGTTGCAAGGGTTTGGGGAGTTAAAAAAACACGTGAGCACAAGTTAAGTACTGCATGTAATTGGTGGTATATTTGGATGGTGGGCCTCCTAGTAGTTCCACACTCTACAGACTGTTCTGCTTATTCAGGTATCATCATTCTATTCAGGAGTTGTGGGGGAGGGGAGACCACATAAGGGATTCAGGCCGTATTCTCAGTATCTGTACTCAATTTCTAAATATTCCTTCTGGCTTATCCTGTATTTCAGATATATTATGGCTGAAGATACATCCTAGAAGACTATTTACAACATGCATGCATTGAATCAAATTTATAGGCAAAACCCAAAAAACTCAAACCAAACCAAAACAAAAAATCCCAAAGATGCCTATGTACTAATATATTAAGAAAACACTTATATTTAGAAGTAACTCCAAAATGGTAGCTCTTGCAAGTTTAGTAAAATGTCTAGCAAAACATCTATTCCAATAAAAAAAATATGGACTCAATGGAAGGAGACCCAAAACAAACAAAAAATCAAATTTTGACTCAATGATGTGGTTTTCAGGAAGATCTTTAAATTCTAATTACTTTGGTTTTAAATGGATTTTTTAAAAAAATCAACTCTAAACTTTTAGTCCTATCCAAGTACAAAACAGATAAAACAAAAAATCTGCTAAAAAACAAAACTAAAACCAACCAAAAGCAAAAGTCTGTAACTATGATCCAGTTTCCAGATGACGATATCCATAAACGAATAGGTTATGAATTGCTAATTTTCATCTCCCCACCAATAAAAGGCAAACCAGCTCAGCAGAGAAAATTCCCAGGAAAGCAAGTGTTCTTCTTAGTCCTAAAACAGCCATCGCATCGTCTAAGTGCAGCTCCCTGCAGCCAACAGCATTAATGGACGCTGCACTGCTGTCCTTCCCTGGAGACAGCAGCCAGCACTACTCAAGCTTCTCACGTAGCAACCAGAGCTCCAGGGCCAGCAGCTGCCGCCGCCTTGTATACTCACCCCTGTGATCCAATACAGGAACAACCTTCTCTTTACCCCACCCCCACTCCTTACACACACTTCTTGGGGGGGGGTGCTCCAAGCTAAAAGGGCTGGAATTACGCTTTTTTAAAGGTCAAAACAATCTTAAGGTCATCCTTTTAAACTGAGCTTTTATCAGGAAACTCAACATTTACCAAATTCCAAATATTCGTTTTAATTAAGCCAGCAATTTAGGAGCACAGATTAAGGTGTAGTCTTTATAGGGCCAATCTTCTAAGCACTCAACAGTCGAATTAAAATTTCCAGCTACAGACACAGCCTGTGCCATGTCCTACCATAGGACATAATTCATTTTTCTACATAATAACAATCTGAGTTAACCTTAAAGACTCTAATCCCATAACGGGCCAGAATATTTAGCTACAGAAGAGAACTAATGATTCTCCTGAGAATACTTGAAAAAAACCAACAAGAAAAGATTTCCTGTGTCCTCCAAAGGGCCCAGAAACCTCTGATGATGTATTTTCTGTCTTAGTCCTAGCTCAGATTCCACCCATCTAAAATTATCCTTATAACTTTCCTGTGAGTGACCTAAAAACACTATTAACGTAAAATTACCCATCGAAAACACTTCCTCCCAAATTCGGAGCACACAGATACTCTCCTGAAAAGCTCTTAACACATAACTCAGCGGGATCCTCCACAATCAAAAGTACACCTATAAAACATGCCCAAGGAAGAAACGTAAATGTGACCTTGGTCACATAAAACAACTTCTTTAGTCAAGGATGAAGAAAATCAACAGAGAACCGGGGGATTCTTTCAGTACTATGAGCACAGAGAAAACTGGAGAACGAACTCAGGTATAGACAAAGCACAGAGACCCAGAGCTCTGGGCAAGAAGTGAGTTACTGGTGAACACATTGCACAAGTACATGATAAAGCAGAAAATGCAGGTCATACACGAACCCCTGACCCAGACCAGCAGAGTTGGCTGCAGCATCAGTACCCAGGAGAAAGACCACTTATTTCCTAAGAAATGAGACGAGCGGAGAACTCTACGAAATAAATTAGCATAGAAGGGGCTTTCCCAACAGTTAAAAACTTTCCTTTCCTCACGCGATTCATCTACTTAAACCAGGGCTTTTTCCCACCACTACTGACTTCACATTTTGCTATGCACGCAGAAGGAAAGAGAATTCATAAAGCGTTATTTTTTCTGCCTTGAAAAACGTTCTCAAAAGATTGATCTCCACGCCCAAGCAGGGAAAACGACAAAATCTGGCGCAACTCTATGCTGTAGCCCTACAGACTCAGTGGGGAGATCTCAGAGATCCGGGGGCATTCGCCACAGGGTGCTCAAGAATGTGAGGTGGGGGTGGGGAAGGTAAGGTCTTCAGTGTGGGAAAGGAAGCAGCCATCTGAGAAGGGGTCTCGAGAACGAGAGAAGGCGTCCTGAAGATCATAGAGAGGATCGGGGCCATCAGAGTTGTCACAAGGCCGCAGGCACGGGGGTAGGGGTAGGAGGTGGGCGTCGGGAACATAAAGAGCAACGTGCCCGTGTTTTCGGGGAGGGAGAGCGAGGCCTACCCTCCAGGCAAAGGTGAATGTGGAGCAGGCAGTTTCCAGGGAAAGGTGTGGGGGAGGGGAGCGTCCTGCCCAGGAAAGGCACGAACGGGGAGTGGGGCCGGCTCGATCCGGGGGTATCCCACTGCTGGGGAGGGAAGGAGGGAGGGGCGGCATCATCCTGCCGAGCCAGGGAGGACCGGGCCCGCGTCCTCAGGACGCGAGCGCGGGGAGACGAGCGAGGTGACCCTTCCTTCTTCCCCGGGCCCGACGTTGAGGGTCGGGGTCTCCTTCCTGTCGGACCCTTACCTTATCCCACGCGCGGCCGGGGCCTGGGCCCAGGCTGCGGCGCACGGCACTCCTGGGAGGCGGCAAGACTCGAGTTAGGCCCAACGCGGCGCCACGGCGTTTCCTGGCCGGGAATGGCCCGTACCCGTGTGGTGGGGGTGGGGGACAGAAAGGCGGAGCGAGCCGAAGGCGGGGAGGGGGAAGGGCCAGGGAGGGAGGGGGCCGGCGCTAACTGTGTTGGCGGACTGGCGGGACTGGGGCTGCGTGAGTCTCTGAGCGCAGGCGGGCGGCGGCCGCCCCTCCCCCAGTGGCGGTGGCGGCAGCAGCGGCGGCGGCGGCGGCGGCGGCGGCGGCGGCAGCTCACTCAACCCGCTGCCGGAGCGGAAACGCCACTGACCGTACGGGGATTCCCATCGCCGGCGCCAGGGGCACCCGGGACACGCCCCCTCTCGCCGCGCGATTGGCCTCTCCGCCCACCACCCTGCACTCATTGGTCAGCTCGCCACCAATCAGCGGAAGCCGCCGGGGCCGCCTAGAGAAGAGGCTGTGCTCTGGGGCTGCGGCTCCTCAGAGAGCCTCGGCTAGGTAGGGGAGCGGAACTCTGGTGGGAGGGAGGTCCGGTGGCCTGGGGGATGGGTGGCTGAGGTGGACCGACTGTTGCTGGGAGTCGCCTTCTCCAGCGAGATGTCGGAATAGGACGATTTAACAGTCTGGAAGGGAAAGGGGGCGGTCAGATACGAGCGGGAGGGCGGCCCGCACCGCGGCAACCCGAGGGGGCGGGAGAAGGGAGCGGAAAAGGCTCGAAGCCGAACGGAGCCATTGCTCCTGCGGAGGGCGGGGCTCTTCTGCTTCCCCTCACCGCTTGTCGCTGATTGGCCATTTGCCCTCCCGCCGTATGTGAAAACACAAATGGCGTATTTTGGTTGGAATAAAGCGCCTGTCAGTTACAGGCTCGGGAATGCGCAGCCGCCTGGGTGGGGCGGGCGTGTAGGTGGGGTGAGGGCCGGCCTTGTGGGCGCGGTCGGCCGCGGGGGAGGGGAGGTCAGTGAAAGTGGCTGTAAGCGGACATCCTCCTTAACCCGCCCTTGCTTTCGGGGACGTCGGTTTGCCCGCCGTCTGTTAGGCTCTGGCGTCTGATTGGCTGCTGTGACCCGGGGAACGGGCTCTTGCTATTGGCTCGAGTCCCAAATGAGCGAAACCACTTGGCGGGCCGGCGAGGGTGGCGGGGAGGCGGGCGTTGGTTCGGCCCTCCCGGAGGCCCAGCGCCGCAGTGTCTGGCCCCGCGCCTCAGCGCAACGTGGCAGGAAGCTCGCGCCGGAGGCGGGGGCGGGCTGTGCCTAGGCTTCTGGGTGTTGGCTGCCACGGCTCCGCCCCGGGTCCCTACCTCTGGAAGGGCGAGAGGGCCCCGGCCCACTACAGGAACCCACGGGGTTGGGGAAGGTGCGGTGGTCTGTCCGGCTGGTTTGGGGACGGAAGATGCGTGTTCTCCAGAAATGCGCGCGAGCTGCAATCCTGAGCCCTGCAGTGTAGGGGGCGGAGAGAGGGCCGCACCCTTCTCGTCCGGGGGAGGGGAATGCCGCAATACCTTTCTGGGAGTTCTCTGTAGCCTTCAGTCCTCTAAGGACCGCCCTGGGCCTAGAAGAATCCTTCCCCTCCCCCATCGGTGATCTCATCGTTGCCTCGTCGAGTAGCTTCTCGATAATGGGCGGGATTCTTTGGCCAGGCTTTAGGGCTAACCTGCTGCCTGGGCGTTGTCCTGTAGGAATAGAGCAGGTCTAAGATTTGAGGGGCAGAATTGAGTTTGGGTCAGGAGGTAATTATAATAGGAGCGGAAGAGGGAAGTGGGAGCTAGGCGTTCACCTGCTTCATGCCTCGAGACTGCGGGTTATTACTACATAACATTCTTTTTGGAGCATTCTTCCTAGAGATAGATTAAGAGTGTAACAGATTTTTATAGTCTCCCTACTTGAGATTTTTGCTATACCACCGACGTACAGTATAGCATCTCACACAGTCATAATCATAAAATTTTAGTCTTTGCCTCAGAACCCAGTGCTTCCCTCCCTCTACTTTCGTCCTGCTCTCTCTGCATCTTTCCTGGCAGGCATTTTAGCAACTCATACTTGGGTCCTATTTTCCATGTGTTACTTGCTCATCCAGTCCCCAAAATGTGCCACTGGCTTCCTGATCTTGACTATGGGCATACCTGGTGAGTCATGAAACCAGACAGATTGGTTCCACCAGAAATTTGGCCTGGACCTGAGGCCTCTTACCCAGCAGTGCTTTTATTCTTCCTTAATGTACTTTCTAGGATGTTTACCTTGATTTAGCTGGGATTCTTCCCCTGGGCCTGCCTATTCACATTCCAGATAACTTTAATTACTGATCTCTAGCTCCTTTTCTCCTCCTTTGAACACTTCTCATTGCATCCCTTTATTTCTGTTCTCTTAAGTTAGTAATTGAGCTCAGTAGCTTGTATAATAGCTTCCCAGCTTGTCTCTGTCCTCCCTATCATTTTCTGATACATTCTACATATTGCCAGAAAGACAGATGAAAACTCCCTTACTAATTCCTTACTACTAACAGGATAAAATCCATCCTCAGGAATGTGATGGCCAACTAAACTACCCTCATTGGGCTAGCCTCAACTTTTAAGCAGTTTTTTTCCTTTGACACTGTAGGAACAAGGGCCTTACAGAATAGGGAAGTGGGCCTTGGGGAGGTTACCAGAGGGGCAAAAACCCAAGGAAGTAAAATCTTAGCCTAAAGCAGACCACATGTCCTGGGATGTGGGCAGTGGCACATGAATAGAAGGGATGAACCAGCTAGGACCCCTTTTGCACTTGTGGACATGTATGGAGGAGCCAATTAAAAGTGATCAAAGGCTGCATGACTCCAGATGGGGTGACCCAATCATAACCTAAATCTGCCTGCGTGACTGACCACCCTGAAGGAAAGGAAGGAGACCCTAGGGACTTAAAGTCTGCCTACCCCTAGCAATGGACTCCCAGCTCTGGGGACCATCCTCTTAGTGAGTCTGTTCTGCTTCTGCAGTAAACTTACTTTTGCTTTGCACCACTAAGGTCTTGAATCTCTATTTCTATACTGAATTGAGAGTCCAGACCCGGAAACTAGGGGGGTGGGGGGTGGCACTGAGTGGATGCAACAATTTGGGGCTTTTTCAGGATAGCTCAAGACCACCAATATGGTCAGTAGCACTTGGCCTAAAGGGCGACCCACCAGGGAGGAGTGACCCTTGAGTAGCCAGCACCCTCATTTTGTGTGGTCATTTGGGGACATCCCCTAGCCATGGGGAGCACCAGGACGCTTGGAGGATTCACAGAGCAAGAGGAATATTTTGCCTTCTCCACCTGGCTCATCACAGCTTATCTGAACCTCCTCTCAGATTTTCAGAACTCCTGGAACTGGGGATGAGGTTAGGGGACTCAGACTGACCACATACCTTTGTAGGTTGGAATGGGAATGAATGAATAAGTGCTCAAGCCTCATGCTTGTTGAGGTATATCTTCCTCAGGCCAGATCTTACATCTGTTAGGCTACAAAGGCAAATACTCCTTGGGGACAGTTCCTGCCCTGCCAGTGGAAGCTCTTCATGCCCTGGTGCACGCATTTGTTGAGCTCCAATGGGCACCCTTGAGTAGAGGCACCAAAGATGTTTGGGATATCAAAGAAGATACAAGGGACTGAACCCTTGCCCATGTGTATAGCACAGATGATTCCTGCTAGGGAGACCTGTCCCTTTCAGGGTCATCCTTGGGGCATTCCAGGTGCCAAGGACAGTTGGGGGTGCCAACATAAGATAGTGGGTGGAGCACAAAGAAGTACTTTTAGCCACTCTCCCCTTTTCCTCACAGATGGGAGCTACTGCCTTCAAGGTTCCTCCAAACTTCCCATTGGAATGCTTGCTTAACCACTGGAAAGAATCAGATACCCAAATTTAAAAAAAAAGGCCCTTGTTTTCTTCAGTACCCAGGCATGACTAATCTGTTAAGGGACCAAGAGGTCTGGCCTGGAGGAACTGTTAACTATACCATTTTGCAGGTAGATTTGTTCTATATGGGGGGAAGGTCCCATATGTACAGTTTTTTTTTTTTTTTTGGTACCGGGGATCGAACTTGGGTCCTTGCGCTTGCTGGGCAGGCAGTGGAACCACTGAGCTAGATCCCTACCCCCTACCCATATGTACAGTTATTTTTCACCCTTAGGGACCATCCTGACTAGATTAAAGGCTGCCAAATTGATGGCCATTCTTATGGCCACCCTATGTGACCCACCTCCTTCAGAGGAGAAAGAATTAAGATAATGAAAAGCCTCCAGTAAGGAACTCTTGTTGCTGTCCAGCTCCTCATCAACTAGATAGAACACTCCTTAGCAAATGCCTTCCCAGCTTACTGCTCCCAAGGAAAATGTTTCCCCCTCAGGCCAGCTCCTATGAGGAGGGGTCCTGCTGATCCTTTTCAACCTCAAAGAGGGAATTGTGTAGTTACACAGATGACCTTGACAGGTATGTTGGCAGCTTTGAGCATCTGTGTGCAGTACTATATATGATATGGCATGGAAAGATACAGTCTTTCTTTTGGATGAAACTTTTTTTCCAGTACTGGGGATCAAACTTGGGACCTTGCGCTTGCGAGGCAGGCGCCAGAATCACTGAGTGAGATCCCCGGCCCTGGATGAAACTTATTAAATGAGGCAGTGAAAAGGAGGATATGGGAACAAGTAGTCCCAGTGGGAAATAGTTACTACATCCTTGATAATATCCCAATAGGGCAGAAGGAAGTGCCAGTTAAGGACCCCGAGCCCAAGGCTAGAGAGCCAAGAGTCCCACTTCACTTGTGAGCTGCTAGAAGACTTCAAGTTCCTCTTTCCCAAAGATAAGTAAATGATAGAAAAACTAATCCATTCTCTGTTCTGTCTCTTATACTATGAGTTGGGGTCATAATCCTTCTTTTGTTGCAGCTACCTGCCAATTACCCTTAAGGTCTGTCCCAAATGGAATTAACTTTTCTTGCCAGAAGTGAGCCTTGTGAGTGTGACTATCCAACATGGATGTGGCAATGTTTGTTTCCTTTCCTTGTAGCTTTCTGTACAGTCCAAGGGCAAGAGGCACACTACCTCATAGAACCGGCCCTAGGCAGCCTGGCTGGTATTACCAGTTAGACCAAGTGTTGGCTCTGTCCCAGAGTAACTGACATGCATCAGACAGAGCTCGGAGCCATGCCGGTAACAGCACCAGAATGGATAAAAACTCTGGGGAAAATATCTAGGTTTTATAACTTATACAATGAGACAGTTCAGAGTGGATGGGGTCCCAGACCCAAGTTCCCCAATTGGAAAAGAACCCCCTTAAGAAAGAACTGTACCAGTTGGGGATTTAGCTCAGTGGTTCCACTGCTTGCCTCGCAAGTGCAAGGTCCTGAGTTCAACCCCTGGTACCAAAAAAAACTGTACCCCTTCAGGGCAGGTCTCTTCTTTAATTCTCAAAGCATCATAGAGCTAGATGTCCTCACTATGTCCCTGTGTAACCACTTATTTGAGTTTGGGACTATGAGACCAAGGAGAAT